GTGCTACAGTGATGTAGTTCTCGTGTCGATGGTCACCTTACAGCCACATCGCTGGTTTGCATGGCGAGTGGTCGTACGCATGGCAACGACATTTGATGACACCCACTAACTACGCTTCAGATGCGTTGATGGCTGCATCGTTTCCCTAACCTGTGAAGTTCTAGGCCTGTTTGGAGTATTTTCAACTGACGTTATGAAAAACCGTGTTTCAAGGCGAGCATTGGTGTGCCATGGCACGGCATTTGGAAATCTCAAAACCGTCCCGTAGATGTCTTTCACGGCTGGACTGTTTGCTACACATGCTATCCTGAAAGTCGCTGCTCTGAGCATGTCAGTTGAGTGATGACATCATCGTGTTCCATTGCACAGGTTTTATCAGTTGGGCTGCCTAGACCTTCCCAGCTTCATTGTTCTGAATGAGAGATGAACCTTACAATTGACGTTTCTGAGGAAGAACGATAACAGATATCTGTGAAATTTCAAACGTGAAGCATGTCAAGAGAGTTGACGTAGTGTCAACGCGCAACTGTCTCTGTGTACTTTCTGGCTAATAATGTGGCTCTTTTGGCATTTAACTAAAGGTGTGCGGCTGCGCTGCTGTTGGTAATATCTGCCTGAACACTTACATTGGGCCTAATGGGACATGTATACGTTTGTTACTTCATGCCTCAGGGCACTTTTGTTTATTATTCTCTCTGACTTAACTCTACTCTCTCTTTCAAGCTATGCGAGATGTTTTCCCTAACCAGGATCATGAAAAATGAATGGTCTCAAGATGTCCGGGCGCGCTGTCTGGTATATGGCGGTTTTAAAAAAAATATATCAAGGGCACATCTTCAAGATTCACGCTGCTGCGACACTCACACACCCTCGTAGCACGCCGCCCGCGCGGGCCCGGCCCCGGCGGCGGCCCGCGCCCGAGGGGAGCCGCGCCCGCCGCGCACCCGGGACGGGCTGGCTTCCAGTACTGCTAGAATGGATACCATGCTGTCCAATGGATCTGGCCCTTCCTACAATCCAGGACATGGTTAAACCATACACCCCCAGCACGTGCACTCCGCTCTGCATTCAGCCACAACAGTCGCTGCCCCGCCTCCACTGCGAGCCACACCCAACCTCCCATCAGCAAAAACTCGGGGTTTGCTATCCTGGCTCCAAAATGGTGGAATGAGCTCCCCATTGAAATCAGGACAGCAGAAAGCTTACACATCTTCCGGCGCAGACTGAAAACTCATCTCTTTAGACTCCACTTCGAGCGATTGAATTACTAACAAAGCACTTATATACTAATAAAGGGCTGGCTTATCTAAAGCCAGTTGAGTAGCACTTGAAATGTTTGGTTCTATGAAACCTGATGTACTTATATGATTCTGTTTTCTTCAAGGTTGTATCTTCCTGGTCGAATGCACTTATTGTAAGTCGCTTTGGATAAAAGCGTCAGCTAAATGCAATGTAATGTAATGTAATGTAATGTAATATTGTTCAGATGTGCTTATTGTCTTGAAAAATCTTCTACTCTATTTTACAAGTTTATATCTTACTTATTTCTGCATTTACCTGAACATTGGGTCACTTGCACCATTCTCTTGCTCTATTTTATTTCTATCTGTATTTCTGTTTGCACTATTATGTCCTTTTGTGCTACTTTTTTGCCATAATAATATGATATGTTGCGGTGTTGGAAGAGCCTTGAACTTAAGCTTTTCATTGCCATAACTGTGCCATTGTGCATGTAACAATAAAGCCTTTGAGTCTTGAATCTTGAACCAAAGTGAATCAGAAAAACTTTAATTTCAACTAATCTGTTGATCTTTTTCTATTTTAACTGCTTTTTTAATATCTAATGGTAGGCCTATCTTAATGAGCTGGGACTAACATGTAATTTTTTTTATTATTCTTGAATTTGAGAAGAGTAATTCAGCAACGCGTAAGGATTTCTGTCTTTACATGGTATTTCTCCTGCCCCAACTTGAATGCATGTGCCACGTTCTCTTGCTAAACCCAAAAGCCACATCTTGTAATATCATACTCACCACCACAAGCCAAGATTTAGCTAATGATCCACAATAAGATATTCCTCCATATAGTTATAAGCTTATATACTGCATATATAATAGATTTTGGTGATCTCAACATGTTGTGAATGTAAATTCATTATGTATTCCACAAAAAGACCATTTAACTCCCATTTCGTCCTCTACATTTGACCTTTTTTCATTTATGATTTGTTATGTAAAACCATTAATTAAGAATATATCATAACTGCATATTATGAGTACAAACAATAATAGCAGAACTGTAACTTTAAAAGTTTCATTGAGTTAAAGTATGTTTTGTTTTATTTAAGTTTAATCATATATTCACTGCAAAGACTATTGATAACATGTTAATGCACCATTTAATAATTAAAGATGATTTAGAATACAATTATTTTCTCTTGTGCTATATGATTATTGAATTTGAATGACGCTATACATAGACAAAGTAAGTATGTTTGCTGTTAGACACATTTTTAACTCTCTCTGGATAATTTGCAGTCATAATAAAACGTTATTGTTATTAAATTACTTCTGGGATTTCAGCCCCTCCCCTCAATCCAGTGATCATTTAACTATGTAGTATAATGATACAAAAAGACTTGTAGTAGCGGGGCTACTCGTTTTGAATTTTGGATTGCATATTATTTTGTGTAAATGTTTTTTTTCTTTTCTTTTTTAATTAGACTAAGCGACGGAGAACATGTCATTTACATGTTTTCCAGACCGTCTGAGGTTATGCATGTAAGTACAGATCATGAAGCAATAGTTATAAGGGTATGGAATGATAGATAGAGGACCTATAGATATAGTAAATTATTATAATCCATGTGGGAAATTAAATCAAAGTATATTAGAGGATGCTGGGGGTTCACTGCAAGACAAAGTAATATGGTGTGGGGATTTTAATTCACATAACTCGCTATGGGGAAGCAGTAGTACAGATGCAAATGGTGCACTAGTTGAGGAATTTATAGATGACCACGGGCTAGTGTGTATTAATGGGGAAGGAACACGATATAATTGCACGAAGAATATAGAAACAGTACTCTATCTGACATTTGTATCTAGTGCTATAGCAGGTATAAGTACATGGAATGTGGTAAAACATACTACAGTGGGCAGCGATCATTATCCGGTAATGACTAAAGTTGGGACCAACATAAGTTTTGAAAAGGAAAAGAAAATTCCTAGATGGAAATTGGGAAAGGCTAATTGGGATGCCTTCCAAGTTGTAAGTACGAATAGATGTAGAACACTTCAAGAGGAAAATTATGATGATATAAATAAATTAAATGATGAGCTGGTTAAGGTTATCATTCATTCAGCTAAAGAAACAATTCCGGAAATTGCAGGAGTTAGGCGTACCAAGAGTGTACCCTGGTGGAATGGTGAATGTAACAAATCCATTAAAGACAGAAATAAAGCATTCAGGCAACTCAAAAAACTCCATTCTCAGGAAGCTTTGAATCAGTATAAAAGGGCCCAGGCTATAGTAAGGNCTGTGGGGGAAACTTCTGAAGCAATTGGAGTCAGGACTCAGAGAACACTGACGGTTTATTTGGAGCTTCGGCCGGAGAATTCACAAGACATATCACGGGTCACGACCCGTGATATGTCTTGTGAATTCTCCGGCCGAAGCTCCAAATAAACCGTCAGTGTTCTCTGAGTCCTGACTCCAATTGCTTCAGAAGTTTCCCCCACAGTTAATACATATTTGAAAAGCCTCATGTGTCTTTAATTATAGCAGTCCAATATGTGTGTAATATCTGTTATTTTCCACAACTTTTTATGACTTTAATATCCTAAAGAACACATCAAAATAAAACACCACTGTCTCTCTAATTTAGAGTTGTATGCACAGTCATGCAAAGTAAAATGTCTCAACTTTTTTCTTTGACCACCTACATACATGCCACCCATCTGTATTAACCAATTGCATTTCCTCCTAATCATTAACCTGCAGAAATACGCAGGCATGACAGCACATCGTCACATTCCTGCAATGGTTTTATCCCAGTAATGCATGTATTTGACGCCCTGCTTACCCTATTATTTGTTCCTACAGTAGCCAAACCCTCACACTTACAATCATCACTCAGGCAGATCTGAGGTAGCTGAACACATCGGCTGACATTTTAGCTTCTTCCACACTCTGCCGGTTCCTTTCTCATAATTGAGCTCACCCATGACTGCCTATCAATGAACACCTGTTGAATCCTTCGACACCCAAAGGTTTGATGATGTCAAGCGGATATGTCTTATAAAGAAATAGATGTAGTGCGTGCACTTAAGTAGCAAAAGCTTTGTACAGCTGTAGCTAACACATCTAATCTCCCAGTCATCTGTTCAATGCATTTGTATGTCATTATGCTTTTGAGTTGGATTATTTCCTTCATATAATTCAAAGGGGAAAGTACATATTTTATTCACATCCACGTCTCTGAGGGCCTCATACCTCATAGTCCAAATCGAGGTGGTCAAACTCTCCGTTGGTCCTGAAGTGCTGAGTGTGTCGGTCCAGAGTGAAGTTGACATTACGTCGGTAGCGTTCGATCACCACTGAGTGCCAGTGGTTGTCGTCCAGGAGGCTGCCGGTGGTCACAGAGGTGTGACCCAGGATGGAGCCGTACTGATTACTGCCTGCAATTAACATAATAATGATATGTTACAGAAATATATCAGGTGTGACAGAGGAATTTCCTTTTGTTCTAAACACTATAATTAGATACATTCTGGGCATCTTAAGGACTACATTTGTATGAAAGTTCTCTGGCAAGGCAAAAGGTAAATTGACCTATACTGTACATAAGTTTCCTGAAAAATGTGCAAATTGTTATGTATGTATTCCCAACTATTGAATATATGAAGGTTCACTAGCTGATTCAAATTGAATATGCTTTTTCCTGCCAATATTATCCCACCTGAAAGTGCAGTCGGTTGTTAGTACAGGACTATGGGAGTGCGTCACTGCAGTGGCTGTGTGCATGTGTGTGTGTGTGTGTGTGTGTGTGTGTGTGTGTGTGTGTGTGTGTGTGTGTGTGTGTGTGTGTGTGTGTGTGTGTTGTCTGGTGGACAAAAGGAAGTTAAGTCTTCTGCACGCAGTCAGCCAAATCCTCAGTAGATATACCGTATTCACCGTTTTTTTTAATAATACCAAAAGTGTGTGTGTGTGTGTGTGTGTGTGTGTGTGTGTGTGTGTGTGTGTCTGTGAGAGAGAGAGAGAGAGTGTATATGTGTGTGTCTGTGTGAGAAAGAGAGAGAGAGAGTGTGTGGTGTGTTGTGTGTGTGTGTGTGTGTGTGTGTGTGTGTGTGTGTGTGTGTGTGTGTGTGTGTGTGTGTGTGTGTGTGTGTGTGTGAGGCGTGATTAAAGGTTACAGAGAGCTGTCAGCACCACAGCTGGTGGACGGAGAGTGATGTGCACGCACTTATGGATTGTTGTGTCTGTTGTTTACAGGGTGAACGTATTGAGAGTCAGGGCATTCATTTAGATTACAAAAGTTTAGCGTTATTGCAAAGCCTATAATGATGCTATTATTCTTTTGACCTTTCAAATTGTTTCATTCGACTAAAGGCAATCCAAGGACCAGGGGCCTCATTTATAAAGGGATATACCCTCAAAAAATGGTACGCCAGTTTCTACGCAATGTTTGCGATTTATAAAATACTAACTTGACGGGAAAACGTGCGGTCCTCCACGCAAACTCTAACCCATGCGTACGCACTAAGCACAAAAACGGGAGAGACGAGAAACCGCGACGCCGTTGGCAGAAGGAAGAATGGAGAGATATACGTGGAAGTAATACCATAAATAAAATGTTACCTCTCATTTATCATATATGAAGAATTCATTTTCAAACATTGATCAAAGCCAATCTTAAAATGATTTAACAAACGCCTGTTTGAGACTCCTCAGTGCACAAAAACATAACTTGGAGAAAAAAATACATACGGATACGTTATTTAAAACCACCTCGAATATGTTGTGTTAATGTTATGAAATGTTGTCTCATAAATTATGCGGTAAGCAGGAGGACAAAATGACGTCTAAACTGACGCCGTTTTGCATTTCAATAGGTTGTAGATACGAGCATGGTTTTATATACTATCACGTTTAATCGTGTTTTATGCCGTTTGCCAAACACAGGAGGTATGGAAACTAAGAACACCATATGTGGTAAATTGTACAGCTAATATAACACACAAGACATTAGTTGTATTTCCTTTAACTGGTGGATATAGAGTTGCTGCGGTGGGGGGGTTGAGATGCACAGGCTGCAGTGGAGACGCTGCGCACAGTTGATCGACAGCTGGGACACAAACCACCAAATGCAAAAACATAATTCAGATCCAGTCGTCATGACTCCACTCCGGAGGGATTCCCCGATCATTTCTTACAGTTTCTCATCAAGGGGTGTCTCCTGTCCCCGGTACAAACACACTGCCTGAGGAAGGCTATGTGTATTTATTTTGTCAGTTAACCTTTTTTGGACCACTTATTTATTTATTTTGGTGACGATCCGACCTCCATGCTGCTACTCTGGTTCAAACTGCATCCACCAAACAATATGATTTATCTCGACCTCCCCAAAATAACCAAAATCTGACACGGTGAGACTCGAGATGTCTTTTTTAGCTGTTCTGTCGACATTTCCTGCTATCTTCTTCATGCAGTCAGCCAAAATGAATGAATGAAAGGGCGTTTCTTTGACTATTTATAGGCAAATATGGGCGTTACGTGAAGCCCGCAAAAGCTGCACCGCATTTCGAGTCGATTGTGATTTATAAAGGGAAACCGGCGTAGGACGTGCCATACGCACTTTCCTCGCCGGTACGCAATGTTTGGTGAATCGGAAAATGTCAGAATATGTCTGTACTGTAGTGCCGAGGACATGGAGTCGGAGGCGGTGCAATGGAGATGTGAAAGGGTACTTTAATAGAGAGCAGAATAGGACATGTTGTCGAGTCGCAGCCCGGGTCGACAAGAGAAAGAGCCAAGAGGGCACACACCATATATAGGCAACACATAACATGTCCGTGCGGGAAAAATAGCCGCAACTGTAGTTCCCAGTTTGAATTATGAACCCAGTGTATAAATAGGTGGTCACCACAGTACCTATTTTTTGGATTTCTACTACGTAACCTTCCCACGTGAATCCTGTACTGTGTATAGCTTGGCTTTAGACTTACCACCACTGCAAGAGTTGCATTCACAAGAGTTATGACTTCCAAAAAAGTCTACACTAATGTAATACTAAGTCAGCTACATTACAAATATCGTAGCAAGAGGGTCAGCCTTCCTTTGCATTTCTTTGTCAAAACAAAAGAGTGTTTCTGACCCAGGTTGATCTGCATCAGCAGCTTGGCCATGCGCAACTCCAGAGTGATGTAGTCCCCCTGCTGGCCCTCCCCGTGGAGAATCACTCCCTCACTCTCTGACGTCTTGAACCTCAGTGCGATCACATCTTTGATGATCTTCATCTTCTTCACCTGCACAGAAGTGAGAAAACCACATGAACCCCACAGAGCGGGAAAACACCACAGGGGGCTTTTTTACAGCTAAAGAAACGTAGAAAGAAAATTTGAAAACAAACTTTCTTTAATTTACTGCAAAACAAGAATGCCTTCACTCTCCCAGATCTCCCATGAATGAGTTCCCATCACATTGCTATGTGTTCATATTCAAGACTAGAATCATCTTGCTATTGTGACTTAAAAAGAACAACAATATCAAGTAACTAATGCAATACCTTAAAACGATATGAGATCACACCCAGTCCATCAAAGTTGATCACACCGGCCCCTGAAAAAGACAAAGTAAACAGTTAGAAATAATAGAGATACAGAGAAGCTAACAGATGGTAAAAGCTGGGGGACATGTGCAACAGTAGTACAGTGTGTGTGCAGGCGGATTGCAGGTGTGTGTGTGTGTGTGTGTGTGTGTGTGTGTGTGTGTGTGTGTGTGTGTGTGTGTGGGGGTGCATGTTAGCCTAGAAAGAAAGCATCGTCAGGTGTGCTAATATGCTAATAATGGATGAAAAGACTAATGGTTTGTGGAAATGTAATATTTTCTGACTGCACCTGCCAGCCGTATGCGGGGGAGGCTTGTGCATTAAACATGTCATTTGAACAGGTTACTACTTGCTGCAATAGAGCTTTTATCGTTTCAAAGGACGTTGTACCCCAGGCCTCTCTCACAGACGACATTTTGACGTGTCACAGTATGAAAAGCTCAGGTGTAAATAATACGATGAATGATGACTGAGTTCCATTAAGCGGCTTGTTTCAGGGTCCTGACATTATGCACTCTGGCTCGCTATCTGCCATGGCTCACTGGGATAATTGAATATAACACAGCCACCGTTAATGTTAATAGTAACACCTGTGCTTTTTTTCTATTATGGCAAGTCAAATGTCTTCAGTAAAAAGGCCTGTATTAAAGGAAAAGTGTGGGATTTATTTAACGCTTTCCATATTCAAGCAAAGCAGTTGGAGTAAAACTGTGCTGTTGTTCAAAACACTGTGACAGAAATATTTTCTATTGCATTGTCAAAGGGTCCTTTTTCCGCACACTGCAGCCTTTTCAAATGAAATCGGGTGAATGACAAGATATGAACTCATTCTAAAAAAGTGTGGAACAATAAATCATGGCCGTTGCAAAAGGTATTAAAGTTACTTCCCATCATAGACCCACCAGGTGTTTTCACTTTTGACTAATTAGCTGCTGGGCTAATCATCCGGGATTGAAAACACCTGTGTGCGTGTGTGTGTGCTGTGTTTCAAGAATGTGAAACATAAAACAAAGTATATAAATATATCCAAATTACAGAAGCTAAACTAGAGGCAAGTTTATTTATATAGCACCTTTCAACACAAGGCAATTCAAGGTGCTTTACAACAATGAAAGACATTCAGACAAAGGCATTTAAAAACAGTCATTAAAAAGAAAAGATAATAAAAGAAACATTACAAGAAAAGTACCCACAATGTAAAGCCTCTCAACTTCTATGTAGGTTTTGT